AATCTCTGAAGATTACATCCGAATGTGTGTGAGGTGAGGATGTGAGATCAGTGCTGTGGCAGATATCTAGAAACACGAAGAACAGAGGAGGAGGAAAGGACTAGAGATGGAGGGGGTTAGAGCTGCTGAGATGGCTCAGTGGGTGAAGAAGGCATTTGCTATCAAGTCCCCCCCAACCTTAGTGTGATACCCAGTACCCACATGGTGGAAAGAGAGAACAGACTCCTGCCACTTACACACACACACACACACACACACACACACACACACACACACACACACAACTTCAGGATGTCTTATCCATGAGGGTGACTTTCGGGCTGATGACTTAAAGGCTGAGGGTGGAAAGGGAGGATCATGTAGAAAAAGGCATCACAGGTACAATGCCTGCTGAGCATCGGGTGTCAGCTCCCGGGATCCCTGGAGAGGTCCTTGGTCAGTGAGGATGTGGCTATGGCTGGAGAGGATGTGTAAGGAGGTCAAAGAGGTCAGGAGAAGCCGGAAAGCCTTGGAAGGTCTTTGGCATCTATGAGCTGGGAGTCACCAGAGTCATCCAGGAATGAAGCCATGTTCTGACCCAGCTCTGGTTCTGAGAACAGACTATAAGGAGACTCCTGTGGTCACAGAGAGCTCTGGCTGGAAGCCATGACACAATTCAGCAGAGGGTGATGGGGACTGGACATAGGTGGGGGAGGGAGGAGGGAGGTTGACGGGGCAAAGGGTTGACTTACCGACATATGCTGAGGACAAGGACCATGGGATGGATTGACAGGCCTGACAGAAGGTACAGTGGAGGGAGGTCTGAGACATGAGTGACAGCAGAACTGGAGCAGTCAGGACCTGGGACAGGGATGCTGATGTCATCAGTATCTAGATCTGGTCTACAGTTAGAAGGGCTCCTGCCTTCTTCCTTCTAAATCCTACAACATGATTTCTACCCACTGGTTTGGTGTTTCTTAATAATCCAACGTCCTCCACTTCTCTTCTCCAGTTTCCTCCTTTCAGAATCAAACATTAAAGTACAAATTAATGGTGGGTTTTGTTTGTTTGTTTCCGAGACAGCATTTCTCTGTGTAGCCTTGACTATCCTGGAACTCGCTCTGTAGACTGGCCTCAAACTCAGAATCACCTGCCTCTGCCTCCCAAGTGTTGGGATTAAAGGTGTGCACCACCACGCCTAGCTAACTCATGGTTCTTCACCTAGGCACCTTTGCCAACTGCTTGATGTCAAGGGCAAAACAGACCAACTCTCTTGCTATACACCATCCTCTACCAGCCCACACTGCTTTCCAGTCCTCAGATGCTCTGAGAGACACCCCGCCCCCTTTCCTAACGATTGTCTCCAGAGTAAGTCCTTGTCACATGTGCGTTTCCATGCTTTTCTCATCAGACTCACACCAATGGGGGGCGGGGTTCACATTCTCCTTTACCAGCAAGGAAGGTGAGGCTCATAAAGGAAAAACAACTTGATCTTAACTTTGTCTGTAAGTCTATGAGGAGTAGAGACCGAGTCAAAACTAGGTAAGCTCAACTTCAGGGCCCTTGTGCTTTGCCTCTGCTGATGCTGTCTCCCTGGCAGTAGAGAAGGCCTATGAGCAGATTCTAACATATTAAATATCTAAACTTGGAAGATTCACGGGTGTTGTGGAATATTTCACTATGTAAAGATATGTTGCAATTGTTTATACTGCCGAATATTACTTTAATTGTGTAAAGGTATGTGTCATTTGTTTATGATGCGTTTGTTTAATGATGTAAGGATGTGTGTTTAACTAGGTAAAGATGTGATACATTTGTTTCACCTGGTCTACCTAAGGCACCTGATTGATCTAATAAAAAGCTGAATGGCCAATAGTTAGGCAGGAAAAGGATAGGTGGGGCTGGTGGGCAGAAAGAATCAATAGGAGGAGAAATCTAGGCTTGGGAGAGAAGAGAGAAGGAGATGATGATGATGAGGAGGAGGAGGAGAAGGAGGAAGAGGAGGAGGAGGGAAGAACAAGGGAAACACCCAGGGCCAGAAGCCAGACAGTTACCACCAGCCAGACACAAGAAGCAGTGGAAGTAAGCTATACAGAAGGAAAGAAAAGCAAAAAGCTGAGGCAAACGGTACGTAAACAGAAACAGGGTAATTCAAGTTAAAAGAGCTAGCCAGAGATGAGTCTAAGCTAGGCTGAGCATTCACAACTAAGAAGTCTCCATGTCATGATTTGGGAGCTGGGTGGTGGCCGAAAAGAGAGAGAAAGCCTGGTGCACACAGGGCTGTAGAGAGGATTAGAGTGTCAGGTCTAGCGTGGGAGGTGGAGTTACTGCTTTCTACGTTATTGTTCAGGATACCGAAAAACTCTGGCAATAGACAGTGATGGGTCTATGATATTGCAATCTGTAATGAATGTCACCACATGCTGCTGCTATGGACCGAATTGTGCTTTTTCCTATTTTGTATGTTGAAAGTCCTAACTCCCTCTGACCATGCCTGGAGACGGGGCCTTTAGGACATAACTAAGGTGAAATGAAGTCATTGTGGGGTGGGGTGCTGGTTTGACAGGATTAGAGAGTTTCTTTTTCTTTGTACATTGACCTAGGTAGCTAAAAGCGAATGAAGTTTAATGTGTCCACAACAGAATGTGCTCATCCAAACTGTGGCCCTCGGTTGGTGCTTCCCAGTTTGGTAGACAGCATTGCCATCCATCAGCTCTGCTGCTAGGCAGACATGGCTAAATGCCGGTGGCACCCTCCCTGCCCTTGCCTACCCGGTCTACTGTCCTAGGGAGGTCACTGCTGTTACTTGGCATAACTTCCCTTTATGGCCGTCTTGACCCAGGATGCTCTCCTTACAACCTCGGACCACCATCAAAGCCCTCTACTGTCTCTCTCTTCCGCTCTTGACCCTCCAGCTTGACCAGAGCAGCTGAGGTTTCATTTCCCTGCCTGGAGCTCTCAGGCTGCTCCTACTGGCCTAACCTCCATCAGTTCAACGTCTCAACACTTATTCCTATCATCAGTTTCTGAAAGTGTCAGGTCTTCTGCCTGGAATGCCCTGGCCTCTCTTTCCCTGGCCAATCTCTATTCATTCATCAAAACGCAAATGTATCCTCAATCCCCTCCAATTTACCGGCACTCTAACAGGCACTTAGGAAATGCTTTTGCTAAAAAGAACCAATTCATCTTTCGGTTGTACAAGGTAATTCGGAGTGGGACGAAAGTCTGCCATTTCTGCCTTCACTTTGTGTCTGTCTCGTTTATTCTGGGTCACTCAATTGCTTAACGTGGCTATTGCTCAAGGAGTCTTCCTGAACACTGGTGATGTTCAATCAATCAGGATGGCTGGAGTATATGAGCATCTCACCTCCTGCACCAATTCCACTTCAATTTTTTTTTTTTCTTGGTTTTTCGAGACAGGGTTTCCTTTTCCTGGAACTCACTCTGTAAACCAGGCTGGCCTCGAACTCACAGAGATCCACCTGCGTCTGCCTCCTGAGTGCTGGGATTAAGGGCGTGCACCACCACCATCCGGCTGTTTGTTTGTTTTTTTTGAGACAGGGTTTCTCTGTGTAGCCCTGACTGTCCTGGAACTTGCTTTGTAGACCAGGCTGGCTTGAGACTCAGAGATTCACCTGCCTCTGCCTCCTAAGTGCTGGGATTAAAAGCGTGTGCCATCACCGGGCCCTTTCTCCACTTAATCCTAAAATTTAGGCAGCACCCCAGGGATGGGTTTTGGCTCATTGTGCCCTTTGTCTCTTCCTCCTTCCAGTGTGCAACATTAATTACATTTCTCTGCTTCTCTAGGCTTATCTATTTAAGTATCATATTGGGATGGTGTGATGGTTATTCTTGGTTGTCAACTTGACTATATCTGGAGTGAAATGGAGGGCACATTTGTGATCCAGATCTTGAGGCAGGAAGGGAACATGCCTTTGATCCGGATCTTGAGGTGGGATGACACACCTTTAATCTGGGCCACACCTTCTGCTGGAAGCCTATATAAGGACACTAGAAGAAGGAAGGGGTTGTTTATTCTTCGCCTGCTTGTCCTTGTCAGCACATCCATTGAGCCTACTTCGGGATTCCAGCTGAGACACCCAGCCTCGGGGAACTGAGCAGCTACTGGATTCTTGAACTTTCCATCCACAACTAGCTATTGTTGGGCTGCAGCCTGTAAGTCATTCCAACAAATACATATTTTATAAGTTCTGTGACTCTAGAGAACAACAAATATATATAATCTATTAGTTCTGTGACTAATACAGGTGGTGGCTGAGTTTGGCCTCTTGGGACTTTTGCCCTAAAATTCTGGTCGCTTTGCCGTCGGCAGGTTCCCATGCAGCCTCTAGTCTGTTAGGGTTTAGGCATGACTCTCAACAATCAATGCTCTCCTGCACACATCCTGTTCAACGGTGAGCCCATCTGCCTGAGTCCAGGCACACAGATGTTTAACACAGGCCTTGCCGCATAAATGAACAAGCAGGGGATAGAATCTCAGCTCTGTCGCTTTGCAGCCATTTGACTTGCAAAGGACACTTAGTATTTCTGACCTAATTTTCCCAAATTGTAATGTGGGATTAGGTGGTGTGTGTGTGTGTGTGTGTGTGTGTGTGTGTGTATTTTGCCTGGTAACACTCAGGGTGCCCATAGAGTAGTGGGAATCAGAGGGAGGTGCTAAGTCATCCTAGGAAGGCTTCCTAGGGAAGGCAGCACTTCCCTGGGGTCTGAGGAGGGAAGGCCTAGGTAGAGGACTCAGCCTGAGTCCGGGAGGCTGAGTCTCAAAAAGGGGCACTCAGCGGGGTGTCCCACCTTGCAGACCCTCCAGTCGGTAGGTACGGTGCTCCACGGACAGGCCCACTGCGCTGTAGGGCCCGTAGCGCAAGGTCACTAAGGCGTTCTTGGGCATGGTGCTTCTTCCTGGCTGCTGGAGGCTGTCAAGGACTCGGAACAACACCTGCTGCTAGGCAACTGCCCTTCCGGCCCTCAGAGGGGTGGGCGTGGCCATGCGCTGGGCGGGGCTAAGGCTTCCTTGTCCCAGGTCCCCAGGCCTAGGACAGTTGCTATACAGCCTCATAAACTAACTCAGTTTCCACCTGCTGTGGTAAGTGCTGTGTGGTACGCGCTGTGCTAAGTGCTTGCGGTGAATGGGTGAATGACTAACGCTGACTAGCTATGGAAAGCACGTGTCTGGCTGTGTTTTCCAAAGTTTCCTCCTTTTCCCAGTAACCATTGCTCCAGGTGAGTTGCCGGCCTGCGGTTTTGTATTTACTCAGCTGAGGCTCGGGAGCCTTGCCAGGTGGCGCAGGAAAGTAGAGTGGATGGGAAACTGCGTTTTCTCTACTCTCTGTTCTGTGTTTGATTGATTATACATACATACAAATAGACATATCTTTGTTTTGTTGAAACCTCCCAAACGCTGGGATTACAGGCATGTGCCACCACATGTGCTGATAAGTTTTCAATTAGTCCATTTCCGCTCTGTTTGGAAGTAGTTTCCATTCCTTGCTAGTTAACCTGTTCGGCTGAGACAAACCTAGATTCACCAAACTCTCATCCTGGGGTTGGGATAAGGACTCAAAAGGGTCTCTGTCTGTCTGTCTGTCTGTCTGTCTGTCTGTCTGTCTCTGTCTCCCTCTCTTCCTCCCTCCCTCTTGCCCTCTTCCTCTCCCTCCTCCTCCTCCTCCTACACACACACACACACACACACACACACACACACACACACACACACACACACACACACCCCAGACACAGACAACCCAGGGAGAACCTGGAGGTCCCATGGACGAGAGACCCCACTACAGGGAGGAAGCTGGATTCCTGGACGTAGCCTCAGCGGCCTGCTTTATTCTGGGAGAGGAAGAAGGAAGCATTTCTTCTACAGTCCTGAGATTCAGGGGTGGGTTGTTTTTTTTTCTTTTTTCTTTTTTTTTCACAGCAGTTAGCCAGTCCTAACAATCACCTTCTTGTGAGTGCAACACACATTTATAAAAACCAACATGGTTGATATTTTTACACTCATTATGAAAAGTGCTAGGATTAAAAACTCCCATTAATTCTTCTCCCAACATATGCTGCTGTTGTGCATTAATATGCATTCTCTCCACGTGCACAGTCTGCTCTTCTGTGACACATACTGGTTGATCCATATTGCCAGTAGAATTATGACTTTTGGAGGGCACAAAGAATTTCCCCTAGTACTCTGCTTCACATTGTCAATGCAAGACATGACTTTCACCTTAATAGGAAGAGTTGATTCTGAGCCAAATACCAGTAACCATGGCCCAGAGACATGAATTCAGATTGCCCCAAATATAACATGTTTTGACATAGAAGTCATCTTATGAACTTTTTTATAGTCATAAAACAAAAAAAGTCATAATTCAAAGCATTTACCAAATGCATTGGTGGGCACAGTGGGTATACAAGTCGAAGCAAGGCAGAGGTAACTCAGCAACAGGCTGCAGACATTGTCTGATGATGTTTTAGCTGGGGGGTTGTGGAAGCTAATGGTCTGATAATATACTCCAAAGGTTTTACATAATAGCTGAAAAGATGTTAGGTCTGACAGGGAAGTTAGCAATGGATGAATATTAACAATAACTCAAGATAATTTGGGCTCTGGATCTGAACATTACAATCACGAAATTCAAACCAACCAATCAGCCATGCAGACTCTTTCATATGGGTGTGGCCTTTTCTGGGAACTTCAGTTCACAGCACCACTGAATAGCAGAAAGGGAGTCACGACACAGAGGAGCACAGCCAACTACAGGGAGAGACAGGCAGTGCCCTCCATGAATGACATCAGTGCTCTTCATCCTAATCAGTATGGCCTCATGCCTTTCAGAAGGACCTAATTGTGCTAGCTAGTTTTATGTCAACTTGACACAAGCTGTAGTTATCTGAGACGGGGAACCTCAATTGAGAAAATCTGGTTGTAAGCAGACAAGCCTGTAGGGCATTTCCTTAATTAGTGATTGATGGAGAAGGGCCCAGCCCATTGTGGGTGATGTCATCCCTGGGCTGGTGGTCCTGAGTTCTAAAAGAAAGCAGGTTGAGCAAGCCACGAGGAGCAAGCCAGTAAGCAGCACCCCTCCATAGCCTCTGCATCAGCTCCTACCTCCAGGTTCCTGCCCTGCTTGAGTTCCTGTCCTGACTTCCTTCAATGATGAACAACAATGTGGAAGTGTAAGCCAAATAAACCCTTTCCTCTGCAAGTTGTCTTTGGTCATGGTGTTTCATCACAGCAGTAGTAACCCTAATTAAGACACTAATGTTTGGTTTTCTCTGAACTTGGTGCACTTTTAGAAGACAAAATCTACTCCTCACTGAAGTACTACTGATTGGATGATTAACTTTGTTAAAAGCGTTTGTAAGTACTTTTTTTCTTGGTTTTACTACTAATCTGTTTCATATTTCACCTCCTTGTCACTGTGCTGTGGCATGCGTGTGGAGGTCAGAGGACAATTTGTGGGACTTGTCTCTCTCTCTGTTGGTTACAGGGCTTGAACTGAGGTCATCAGCCTTGGTGCCCAGAGCCTGGATTCACTACGTCTGCTTATCAGCCCACTATAGTGAATTTCTTGTTCTTGTTTTTGGTTTTGTTTTTTTTTTGAGACGAGGTTTCTCTATATAACCCTGGCTGTCCTGGAACTTGCTATGTAGATTAGGCTGGACTCAAACTCACCTCTACCTTGTGAGTGCTGGCATTAGAAGTGTGTGTTATTATGCCTGGCACTACCTTGGATCTAGATACAGAGTCTCTCACTGAACCTAGAGTTTATTGATTTGGCTAAACTGGTGTCTTAGTTAGGGGTTTCTATTACTGTGAAGAGACACCATGACCACAGCAACTCTTATAAAGGAAAACATTTAACTGGAGCTCGCTTACAGTTCAGAGTTTAGCCCATTATCATCATAAGGGGGAGCATGGTGGCATGCAGGCAGACGTGATGCTGGAGAAGGAGCTGAGAGTTATACATCTGAATCTGCAGACATCAGGAAGAGAGAGTGACACTGGACCTGGCTTGAGCATTTGAAACCCCAAAGCCCACCCCCAGTGACACATTTCCCCCAACAAGGCCACACCTCCTGATGCTACTCCTTAAGCATTTACATATATGAGCCTATGGGGGCCAATCTTATTCAAACCACCACAAGTGGCTTGTTGGGCAAGCTTCTAGAAACCTTTTGTCTCTGCACCCCACCCCACCCCACCCCCAAGTGCCCAGGGTTGAGGTTATAGATGTGAGCGTCCACATTTAGCTTTTACATGGGCACTGGAGATATGAACTCAGTTTCTCATGCTTTCATAGCAAGTACTTTGCCCACTGAACCATGTTCCCAGCCTCTAAACCATGTCTTTTCAATGCTGAGTTTATTTCTGGAGTATAACATTTTACTTTTATATATTGATCTTATGTAAACTACCTTGATCTTCTTTGTTCTTTTTGATAATGTATTTGTAGGTCCTTTGGGGTTATCTGTGTAAACAGTCATACAGCTTCCAAACAGTTACAGCTGTATTTCCTTCATTGAACCTTTCTTTTTTTCTTCTTATCATATATCACTGGCTAGAAACTCTACCACAAAGTTGAATAGAATGGTTATTATATATATTTTCTCTTTATCCTGAACTTGAGATGTTGTCCTCTAATCTTAATTTTTCCTCCTTGATTCCGCAGCTATAGCCTCACATGGAACAGTTCTAATTCCAGGGAAGACTGGCCTTTCATATGTAAATGACCATAACTCTTATTTGGATAACAACTTGATTTGTCCTCTTACCTTGGTGTTAGTCTACATTCCGGTTCGTGGAAACGAATGGAAATTCACACTCCTGAAGATAATAAGGCTATACTACTTAAAAAAAATTTTTAAACAAAGTTATATTTTCCACAGGTTCAAAACATTATTAGTAATAGGGGTAGAAATAAGAGGCCAAATATGTGAGAAAACAGGACTCCATAGATTTTTTGTTTGCATGACCAAATCTCATTCTTTATTTTATATCAGAAAAATAAATGGGATCCATGGGGTTGGGGATTTAGCTCAGTGGTAGAGTGCTTGCCTAGCAAGTGCAAGGCCCTGGGTTCTATCCTTAGCTCCGGCAAAAAAAAGAAAAAAGAAAAAAAAAGAAAAATAAGAAATGGGATCTAACCACTCTCAGCTTTTTGGAGGTGGAGGTAAGAGGATCAGATCAAGTTCATCCTCAACCTAGGTAATAGGTTCAAGGCTGGCCTGGGCTACATGAGGCCCTGTCATCACAAAAACAAACAAAAAAGAAAAAAAGAGAAAAGGAAGAATAAAGGGGATTGTGACTCCAATGGAGTTATTTTGTAACACTGTTCATTTACTTTTCATTGGAAAAATGTAATATTATTGTTTAGTATTTTTTTTCTAATCCAAACTAACTGCATGATGGGGCACCTTGAAGACTCAATCAGGAAGTATGGGTTCTTAAACTCTGGTCTCCTAGGTTACAAATTTTCTTTGTTCAGAAATAACATTTTTCATGTCCCATTTTTGAATATTAATTCTTTTTAAAGTATGTCTTTTAAAATTATTTTCAGTAGATTGGGTTTGTCCTAAAATTCATAGGCCTATACTCCCAGAGAAGTTTCTTGATTCTAGCTTTTGGCCAATCTTTATTTAAAACAAACTGACAACAAAAACATCATCATAAATGTTTTTGCCATTGGATACTATTTGTACATAATTTAAATAAAAAGTGTCAACCTAAATCTTGGGTAGTCCTGACAATGGTCAAAGTGACTCTAAAGTAGGCATAAGTTTAACTTACACTATGGCTCTGTCTAGAGGCTTTAATCTGTTCTAAACATTTTTAGTGTCAGTAGCAACATAGGAAACCAATAGGTCAGACCCAGTTAATATTCTTTCTTTGGGGGGCACTGGGGAAATATAGCTCTGTTGCGAAAGTACTTGGAAAGCAGGTCTGAGGACCAGAGCTCAAGCCTCAGCACCCACATAAAAAAGCCAGGCATGATAGTGTGCGCTGACAATTCCAGCACGGAAAAGATAGAGACAGGAGGATCTGTCAGACTCTCAGCTAAGATGGTAGCCAGCCATCTTAGTCTAATGAGTGAGATTCAGGTCCCTCCCAGTGACAGACATGCATATACACACATGCAAATCCAATATATATTAAGAAGTTCTTTTGTTCTTATCTGTAAGAATTTAGATCTCAAATAAAGATATGATATACAGCCATCCCAGACTAAACTCACCCAATCTCATCTGAGAGAAAAGTACCCCAAAATACAAAGCTCTTTTTGGAAGATTTTCAATAGGCCTCTATGGAACTGGAACAATGTCTTAGCAGTTAAGAGTGAGTACTGCCCTTACAGAGGACCTAAGTTTAGTTCCCAGCATCCACATGGGACAGCATGACCCCAGCCTTTGTGAGCATCTGAAACTCATATGCACATACACCCATACAAACATACATGTACACACATAATTAAAAACAAATCTAAAAACGAAAAGCCTCTGTCCAATTTTTGTTTTGTTTTTTCGAGACAGGATTTCTCTGTGTAGTTTTGGTGCCTGTCCTGAATCTCGCTCTGTAGACCAGGCTGGCCTCAAACTCACAGAGATCCGCCTGGCTCTGCCTCCTGAGGGCTGGGATTAAAGGTGTGCACCACCGCCACCCGGCTTCCTCTGTCCTATTTTTGTCTAAAAATTATATTTTCTCCAAATAAGATACTTTATTTTATGAAGGGAGTGAAATTTTTAAATTTTTTGAGACTTGAAACTTGATTCAAATGAAGTAGGAGGTTTGGGTAAGGCAAGAGTCATAACAAATAATGTGACTAATGTGAGGATGTGATATCATCCTCATTTGTACTTTTATTAAAACTCAGATCATCACTATCTCTCTCATTTAGAAAAAAATAGACTAAGGAATGATTTTTTTCAAATAGTTGAAATATAAAAGGATTTAGGAAACATGCTATAAAAGAGCAGAAATTAGTAGAGATGTGAGAGGAGCGTTGAGTCCCATTGTGCCCAGCTGGGGTCCTCCGCTACAGATCTGAAGTAGTGGAAATAAGCCTCACTGAGGCCCCCTGAGGTTCACGTGGGTATGCCCACAGGACAAGGGGGCACAAGTCTGAGGTGAGAAACACAAACCCAAGCTTTGTCTCTTGGAGTTTTGTAACACAAGAGGGGGTTAGAAGTGGCTGCTGTGTCTCTCTTTACTGTGGCTGAACAGAATCTTCAATCTGGTGTCTTTTTCAAAGTCCCTGTAACCAATTCTGAACTTTTAGCTATCATTTGAAAAATACCGTCCAATGCCTCATGCAGTCATTCCGTTTTGATAGCATGCCCAGCGATGATTTTATAAGGATATAAACTGATGTTTTCCACGTGACATAGATCTTAGACTGAAGAGCCAAAGGCAGCCTCTTTGGCTAAAGAAGCTGAAGCGTGGTTGATTTTGACAATTTCTTTCCATGTCATTTGTTTAACAACTTACCCAGAGGACTGACGATCGTAGGCACAGTGAAAATTCTGCACAATAGGTCAACTTTTAGATTGAAATGTTTGTCCATAAATGTAAGTTCCACTGGGAGTCTAATTAGTGAGAAAGAGGAGGGTTTATATGAGTGAGAATTGTTGAAACCAAGGTTGGATAAAGCACAGGGACAAATAACCAAATGAATGGAAACACATGAACTATGAACCAAAGGCTGAGGGGCCCCCAACTGAATCAGGCCCTCTGAATAGGTGAGACAGTCGATTGGCTTGATCTGTTTGGGAGGCATCTAGGCAGTGGTACCAGGTCCTGGGCTCGTTGCATGAGTTAGCTGTTTGAAACCTGGGATTTATGCAGGGACGCTTGGCTCAATCTGGGAGGAGGGGACTGGACCTGCCTGGACTGAGTCTATCAGGTCGATCCCAGTCCTCGGGGGAGACCTTGATCTGGAGGAGGTGGGAATGGGTGGTGTGCTGGGGGGAAGGGGAGGAGGGCAAGAAGGGAGAGAACAAGGGAATCTGTGGCTATTATGTAGAACTGAATGGTATTGTAAAATAAATTTAAAAAAAAAAGTAAGTTCCATGATTGTTTAACAAGAATGCTTCCAAAAGGAATAATTTTTTTCTAACATATTTTTCCTTCCTACTGACAAGGTGGTGGTTTTCTGGGAAGAAAAGTCTTTACCCCAATAGGAAACTAAACTATTCCAAACTAGTTTTACCACACTTGTGTATTTTGTTAGTCTTTTCAAATAGCCTAATTTTCTTTCTCTTTTCTACTGTGTTTTGTTTTCTGTTTCTTTGGTAACTGATTTTTGTCTTTAATCTTTTCTCTTCTTCTTTGGGGTCACTGGTTGGTTCCTTCTAACTGATTCTAAAACCCTTTACTTATTATTGATTTTCTTTTTAAGACAGGGTCTCATGGTGGTGCTCTGCCTAGTCTGAACGCACTGTGTAGCCTAGACTGGCCTTCAACCTGATCCTCCTGTCTCAGACTCCCAAGTGCTGGGACTATAGGCACAGGCCACCAGGTCCAGCTTTTCCCTTTCTGTTTCAAAGCTATATTTAGCTCACCAATTCTTTTATCATATCCTTTTCTGATGTATTTTGAAGTATTACTTGCCTGTGAAAAATTTTGCCATATCCCAAAGGTTTCGATATTAGGTACCTTTAAATGAATTTCATTTACTCCTTTACAACTTCATACACATCTTTAACATGCTTTGAGTGTATTCCCACTCAGCCTCTCTGCTCCCACTGAACCCCTTTTCCTCCCTTCCAATGAGCGTTCCTCCCTCATTCTTGTCTTTTTGTTTGTTACTGTTGTTTTTACCTCCTGTATTTAATTACAGTTGCCTTCCTGAGCATGTATGGGAGATTATTTGCTTGATCAAGAGAAATTTACCAGTGTCTCTACCACTGGGGAATATGACTCCTTTAGCTCCATCAACCCTTAAGTTCCTATAGCTTCATGGATCCCTCTCAGTCTGTGAAGGAATGTTGATAGGTCCAGTCTTATGAAGATCTTGTGCAGGTAACCACTGCTGCTATGAGTTCACAGGTGCAATAGTTGGAAGCATCTTCCTTGGTTGCTTAGCTTTCACAGTGCCATGTTTAGAAAATAGTATGGCTCTTACATTCTTCCCATATCCTCTTCCACAATATTCCTTGGAGGAAGTGATATAGTTGTCTGATTTATGGCCAAGCACTCAACAGTTACTTATTCTCTGCATCAACTCCAAACAGAAGCTTCTCTGACCACTTCAGAGAGTGGCACTAAACTATGGGTATAAACACTGGAAGGCAGCGTGGCACCATATCCATTTAGCAAAACAATAGGGTAGGTTTCCATCTTAGGGTCTATGACCTTTCTAGCCATGGTTTGTGACCAGGTTTCTAGTACCAGACATGAATTCCTCTTGTGGAGAGAGCCTCAAATCCAACAATAAAGCGATCGGACACTCCCATGTCAGCCATGCCACTATTACGTCAACGGTATAGTGCACAGCGTTCATAGCTAGATAAGACCGTGAATGCCTTTTCTCCCCCAGCAGACTATAAGTGCATTCCAGCAGTGTGAAAGCTAGCCAGCAGGGAGCACACTTCCAGATCAATTTCAGCTTGATTTATTGGTCTCCTGAGACCAAATCAAGGGGTGCTTTCAACATCAGGGTCTTATCATCTAGTTCTGGTTGGTAACCAAGAACAATGGCAATGGCCTGTATTTTTGGGTGTGTGTGTGTCTCATAATAAGGTATCCTATATTTGGCCCCAGACATTCTGGGAACAGCATTGCTATGTGGTGTCTTTAACATTCTTTAAGTATTTTAAAGTTTGTGTTATCTTATTTTCTTTGACCCAGGAGTTTTAGAATTGTTTATTAGATTCTGGAATATTCTCAGTCATTTCTCATTGACTATTGCTTTCCCACATTCTATCTAACATGTCCCTGTGCTGGTTCTGATTTTGTCAACTCCACAGAAGCTAGAGTCATCGGGAAAAGGGAGCCTCAGCTAAGGAGTTGCTTCCATCAGATTGGCCTGTGGACAAGTTCATGGGGACATTTTCTTGATTAATAATTCATATAGGAGGGTCTCGCCGACTGTGGGTGGTATGACCCCTGGACAGGTGGTCCTGGATTGCATAAAAATGCAAACTAAGCTGTGAGAGCAAGCCAGTAAACAACATCCCTCCGTGGTCCGTGCTTCAGTTCCTGCCTCCAGGTTCCTACCTTGAGTCCCTGCTCTTACTTCTCTCAGTGATGGACTGTGATGGAGAGGTGTAAGCCAAAGAAATCCTTTCCTCCCTAAGTTGCCTTTGGCCTTGATCTTCATCACAGCAACAGGAAACAAACTGAGATGCTTCCCCTGCGACTCTTACATGTACGTCTGAGTTCCGTATTTTGTCTTCCTTCAACAATGTCTTTAGCAATACTAGACACATCTGTTTATTGGTTTCTCTGAGGTGTCTATTATCTGAAGCTGCCGTGGTACTGGCTCCTCTTTACTTCTCTGCCGCTCTCCTGTGGTGTACATAATTTCCTAGCTTTGTATTTCTGACTTTGAGCTCATCTGCAATAGACTATTTCCCACTGTGGGTGTTTGATGTGTCCAAGGTGGAAAGTGGTTTTATATTATATCAGGCCAATTTGGCCTTTTAAAATGATCATGTAAATTCAGATTTCTTGTCTTCACATGGCAAAGTTTGTGGTTTTGATTTTTCATTCATTTCTTCCCTCTACATCTACTACCTTGAGTAGATGACAGACTTTCTTGGCTTTGTCTGGGGCTGGGTGGGGGCTGATGGGAAGAGTTTTTCTAGTCCCTTTCACAGGATGAAGATGCCTCTGGAAATTGGTTTCGTGATGGAAATTAAGTGGTTCTTCCACCCTCCATGGGCTTGTGCATTCTGTCAACCCCAAGGGATGGTGTGCTGTATGGGCCAGTGGGGTCATGGGCTGCCTGGTTTTAAATGTCAACTTGTCACCACCTAGAATTACCTGGGAAGGGAGTCTCAGTTGAGGGATTATGTAGATCAGGTCAGCCTGTTGGCTTGTCCTTTGAATTGCCTTGACTGTTGGTGGGAAGACTCACCCTGAATGTGAGCAGCACCATTTCATGGGCTGTGCCCTGAGCTGTATAAGAGTGAAGAAAGCCAGGTGCTCAGCAGGGGTCCATGTGCATCTTCTCTGTGTACTCCTGGCTGTGGATATGGTGCTTGAAGTTCCTGCCTCTTGACTTCTCAGCCATACTGGACTGCAGCCTGGAACTGTAAGCCAAATAAACCCTTCCCTCCTGCAGGTTGCTCTTGGACAGGGTATTTCACCACAGCAACAGAACGGAAGCCAGGACAGACCTGTCGTGTATAAACTTGTAGCTCCTGCTTAACTATGGGCGCCCTTCCTTCTGGAATGCACTTATTTCATTTCTTTTCTTTCTTTTCTTTTCTTTTCTTTTCTTTTCTTTTCTTTTCTTTTCTTTCTTTCTTTCTTTTTTTCTTTCTTTCTTTCTCTCTCTCTCTTTTCCTCCCTCCCTCCCTCCCTCCCTCCCTCCTTTCTTTCTTTCTTTCTTTCTTTCTTTTTTTCTTTCTTTCTTTCTTTCTTTCTTTCTTTCTTTCTTTCTTTCTTTCTTTCTTTCTTTCTTTTCTTTTCTTTCTTTCTTTTTTGAGACAGGCTCTCTTTACATAACTCTGACTGTCTTGGAACTTGCTTTGTAGACCAGGGTGGCCTAGAACTCACAGAGATCTCCCTGCCTCTGCTTCACAAGTGCTGGAATTTTTTTTTAAATCTTCTGAATGCCAGTACATAGCTTAAATATTTTCCCTTAAGTATATGTTTTCATAGTTGTAGGAGCCCTTCTGCATCAACTCGGCCTGCCATACCACTACTTCTTAATTAGAAACAGAAAGCATAGACAGAACACTGGGGCGCATGATATAAGGGACAGAGGCAGGAACAGAAATCACTTCAAGAAATGGAAGGAGCACATGAAAGGAGTGGAACCGAGAGTCGGTTTAGAAAGGTCTTTGTATCTGATGTGAGGCCAGCTCTTCCCTGGAGGAGGAACACTGTGCTTACCCTATACATGTAAAGGGATTTCTGAAAGGGAAACTCAGGGAAATACACACACACACACACACACACACACACACACACACACACACACACACACACAGTAACTAGGATGAACTGAGAAGAGAATGGCCACTGGTATTTCCCTCTAAGGAGACTGCTGCTCCAGAATCATTTGGAGACTGCTGGTTGCTCTTGTGCCATTCAGAGGGATTCTCCCCGCTAACTTCTCTGGATATTAACATCCACCCAATGGAAAGGAGGCATAATTTTATATTGTCTTTACTTCCTGTTCTCTGTTATCTGTATTTTCACATCTGGTTGTTTGAAGGCCACCTGCCATACGTGTGATAGATAAGAACAAATCGCATTACTTTCATCCTCTTCTCCATGCTGGAATATTCTAAGCCATTATCTCTTCCAAAAGTGCCTTTCCCACATCCCGACTCCCTAACCAGCATACCCCAGGGTTCCACATCAAAGGTCCTGGGGTTCCCATTTGGAAGAATCTCCATTCTGGCACTATGGATTGCTCACTTGTGGAGAGGTCTTGCAGCCTGGACCAGTGCAACTATGTATTTGTGAGCCTGTAACAAGAATGCTTGATCTTTACATTTTTTTCCTTCTATTTTCAAACTATGGCCATCTCATATCATCTTGTCCCAAACCTCAGAGATAAGTAGTGTTGATCTCAACATTCCCACATTATAGGTAAGGATTCTATGACCTTGAAAGGCAATAAGGCTCCCCAGGAACCATAACAACTTTGGAGTACCATTGGGCTTGTTAGCTTCTGAGCCTGGAGGTTTTATCTCTACTTTATGCTGCCTACACATGTTTGGACAGGCTTACAGGGAGCACCCATCCCTACACTGAGTTCCTGTCAATCAATCAAAATGTCACATGAAACCTATGCCTCTCCTCAATCACAATAAGGTCTGCCATATACACTAGCAGAGACTTAGTTTCCTTCTTCCTTTTCTTTCATGGCCCAGTATCTTTTATTTTAGATGCAGAATCTCCTTATGTTGCCCAGGTTAGCTTCAAACTCCTGACTTCATGTGATGTTCTAGCCTCACCCTCAGACCCTGGTGCTGTCATAGATACAGGCCATTGAGTTGTGAATTTATATCATTTGTCAGCAGGAACAATGACATCATCATCTTTCTTGGCATTACATTTTATTGAATACAGTCTTACAGTCCTTAAATATCTTGAATAGAATACTTTCAATATACATTTTTTTCATACATGTATTTCTTTAAAGCACAGAACTATAAATTAAAATGTACATATTGCCATAAATCTAGAGCTATATTATAAAAATAGAACCCAAACGTCAACTTCATATGTAATTTGGCAATTTAGCAGTACAATAAGGTGGCCACACTTAGGATGCATCATTGCTTCAAACAACTGTCTCATTTTCCATCTCTTTAGGGACACATGGGACAGTCTCTCTTCCCAGGGTCCCCACAGAGTAGCCTGTGGCCATGGCTCAGTGTCGCCTTTGCATAAAGATGAGTACACTTTGTTCTTGGAGGGGGAAGGCCAGCTTCCAGTCTCTTCCTAAGGGAGGAGGTGTTCCCTCCAGCCAAGGGTCTGCCACTCATGAGTCTTGACAACCTCACAGTGCATGGTTTGATATATCCAATAAATACAGTGAATTCCTTTTCTGATAGAGGGTTGGTTCTTCCAGATCAGTGTAAATAGTTTGAGAAAATCACTCAATGCCAGTGGGGTATTATCATCCCAAGTGGGCACCACTGCTCAGCTACCATGCAAGCCCTTCACCCACAACCCAGCTTTTAATCTTCACAGCCCAGAAACTTAGTTCCCTCCATTATCAAATGAAGAAACTTGTTTTTTTTTTTTTCTTTCTGAATATCTGGATGAGATTATCTGAACTCAAGGAAGACTGCTGTGGAAGATGAAAGCAATGTCTTTGAGGGTGTGGGCCGCTGTATTTTAATGGAACTTGGGCTGTATGTGTGTGTGTGGGTGTGTGGAGGGACAGCGGCAGGTAATGATCCAGAGCTAGCCTCTGCCTTCATGACTTAGTTGGGTCCCTATCACGTGATGAGATGACTCATCCTTTCATTAGGCAGAACTACTATGTGTACCACTGGGTGCTGCTGGGAAAGAAGCGTAAATGTTAAGTTTTTGAAGATCCTAGAGTATGGTCCCAGCTCACCCAGGCTGCTTGCAAGCTAGGCTAGTCTCATTTCCAGTTGTAAAGGCCAGAGGCCACCTTGATAAATAATGAGGGACTCTTTCTCCTAACATGCCAGCTTTGTGTGATGCCTCCCCACAGAGTCTGTGGGTTGGGCCCATAAGGACTAAGGAGCAACAAAAAGCTGGGGTGGGGGATGGGAGCAGGGCTTGGCAGGGTTTGGCTCCAGCAGGAGATCAGGCTAGCGGCAGGAGTCAAGATTGTTTGCCCTGGTTGGGCCTCTAGCATTTTCCTTTGTTGCTGGGGCTTTGCCCTCAGCAGGCTGCCATGCACTGCAGAGGTCTCTCATATCAACCAGGCTTGCTCCCACGGCTTCTGCAAACTCCACAGAAGAGGTCTCTTTGCAGCTGTGAAAGCTGGAGATGCAGAAGATGATGGCCTCAGGCTGGGGGTTGTAGCAGGCTCCATATCCATTGGGGACCACAGGGCCGTAACAACAGAACATCTCCATGGTTGTGGGCACCTGGAGAAGAGCATAGGTCAGATGCAACCTATTCTGACATTCAATCTGGAACCTGCTAGACTGCGGTGGGTGAGTCCCTGTATCCTAAGACCTCCATGGCGTTTGTTTCCCTGTCTGTCCCTGTCTATCTGGATTTGACCAGATTGGATTGTGTTGGCATGAATGAAAGGGCATGGCTGGAGTAATAAAGATGAGCCCATCAAGGTGCGCGGTGTCGAGGGAGAGAGACCCCAACCCACTCTCCATTGTGCAATTGGTTCTGCTTGTGGAACTGGAAACTCCCAGGGCGACCTGCTGCTCTGGCTTGAGCCAAGACTTTCCTTCATCCAGGGGCCATTTGAGGCACTGTGGCAATCAGGCTAATTTACTAAACGGCACCCTGGTGGCACCCCACCATTAGATGGCTTCCCACAGGGAGTAATTTATGAACTGGAGGAAATCTGGCCCATCTTCTCTGTTGATTTCCCCCAGATCCTTAATTACTGTCAGCACCGCCTGGCTGGGCTGATTTCCTCCCCAAGGCCCACCCATGCACAATTGCTCAGCACCCGGCACCTCCAAGCCTGCTGTCACCTGGAATGGCAGTCAGTCGTCTAAGATGTTTTGAATTTAGAGGCTTTGCAGTCCAGATCACAAACCAAGACAGTGTGTCACTGAAAGCTCACGCCGCAAATGCCACTTTCCAGCGGGAAAGATCTTAACCACTCACACCCCACACTCATTTTATCAGCTGGTTTTAGGGATAAGTAGAAAGGATTGCTGGGCCGGTGTATGTGGGACAGGGTCTGTTTTCAGTCCACAGGTTTCTGGTGCTGTGTTCTTGGGCCTGCAGAAATGACACTGGCCATTTTAATGGGGCAGAACAAGCCATTAGTCTTGCTAATAGACTCACCGCACTGTCAGAGAAATTTGCCGTGCAATGGCTGGAGGCCATAAAGCCATTCCAGAGCACTCTGTGCCCACGGATGGTTTCCTGAAGAATTTATGTTGTAGTATTCTGGTCTCATTTATTCATGTCTGCGAGCTCACTGCCGTAATGACAAAATTAAATTACTGAGTGGGCTTTTATCCTCAAACATAGAGCTTCGTCGGCCCCCTTTGCGGCCCATGTCCAGCGTTTTGCAGAGAAGGTAACTTCCAGGAGGCTGGTGTGTTTAGGTGTGTCCTCCCCTCCCCTGCAGCTTCCCACTAACCAATGTCATTTCTCTGTGGTTGTGGTCCTTTAACAGAGTCGGCATATGTGGAGCATTAGGTCAGAAGTGTTGGGCTGACAATTGATTTTCTGCCATCGGTGGCCTGGCCATTCATTAATGTAATCCCTGTGACCTAATTGGGGAACCTCCAACCAGGCCTGTCTGGCTTCGGATCCTAGGGTCCTCTGCAGTGGAATACCAGTCCGTGCAGCAGATGGCCAGGCAGCACCGATGATACTTCGAACCCCCAGGTGGATGTGTTTACAGCCTGTCTACCTTGGCTAAGGGAGCCTGTGGTCGTTCCTACTTAGAAGATAGGGGACTATCAATTCCTTAAGAACAGAGCCTGGGGTTGGAGAGATGGCTCAGTGGTTCAAAGAGCTTGTAGCTCTTCTGGAGGTCTCAAGTTGAATTCCCAGCACCCATATCAGGCATCTAGCTCACAAATGCCTGTAACTCTAGCTCCAGGGCATCCAACACCCTCCTATGGCCTCTGAGGGCACCAGCAGACACAGAGCATACATTCACAGAGGCACATACACATAGAAACACATAGAAACACATAAGTAAAGATAAAACTTGTTAAAAGAAAAAAGGAGAGCCAAGTGGTGGGGTTGAGAGTGGAGAGGATATTGTTTGACGTCACAGTAGGAAGGATATGGTTTTCAACAGTAACTTAAATATTTTAAAGTCGCTAATAGAAAGGACTTTGAATGTTCTCTAAATGACTGAGTTGATAGATATACCAATTAGGCTGATCTGACTGCTACCCATTACACGCAGATAGTTCAGCATACACTGTACCCTGTAAGTATGTATATTTTTTTTGCATAATTAACATATATTAAACACGTGCAAATATATTCATACAAGAGAGAGAGATTGAGAGAGAGAGAGACAGAGAGAGAGAGAGAGAGAGAGAGAGAGAGAGAGAGAGAGAGAGAGAGAGCAGAGACAAAGGCAGATTCCAAGTCAATAATGTCTTCAGAAACTCCCAGGTTCTACTATGAGGCCCTGGTCACACACACAGAGGCTGTACCTGGCTGGTGGAGAGGACAAACCGGTTGCTCATCAGGTATGTTTCATCCATGAACATCTCAGGTGGCTCCTTGCACAGGTCCCGGGCCAGCTCCCTCAGTGCCAGCAGGTGGTTGTCAATGGCCATGCCAGTTATGGCCTGGGAGTCAGGAACAAGAGATCCATGAGACTTGCACTCCTCTGTTCCGTCTCTCCTGTCCTGTCTCCTCAAGACCAGTGATGACTCCAGCAGTCACGGCTCTTGCTTAAACCACTCTGGATAGACAGCCTGTGTGAACCCAGGCTGACTGCTCTACTGTGCAGCCTCTGCTCCTGGACTCTTGCGTACGGCTACACGCACAGGCTGTGTCCAGAGAAGGCTGGGGCCAACCTTACCAATGTCTGGGGAAAAGTGGGTGGGCCCATCACCCACTACACAGCTGCACCAGCATGCTCTTCTAACAGGAGAGTGGGTGAGCCTGCCTATCCCAACTCCAGCCTGCTCTGGACAGGCAAAGGGTATTCAGGAGAAGGCCGGCCCATGTGTTGGGTCCAGTCACAGGGGAGGGGTGTCAAAACTGTCAGGGCTAGGATCGCACCATGACTAATTCTTCACCCTCCAGCACAAAGCTGGGACAGGGTTCGTCACCCACTCAGTGCAGTGTGTGGACTCCCTTAAATTCGACTCATCATCTCAGAAATTAAGTCAGGAACTAGACTGCTGAGCAAAGCTCTGCTGATGCTAAGGTGAAAGCACTAGTTGAATGATGCGGGGTGTGTGTGTGTCTGTGTCTGTCTCTCTGTCTGTCTGTCTGTCTTTCATTTTTTGGTTGGTTGGTTGGTTTTTGTTTTTTGTTTTTTCGAGACAGGGTTTCTCTGTGTAGCTTTGCGCCTTTCCTGGAGCTCAGTTGGTAGCCCAGGCTGGCCTTGAACTCATAGAGATCCACCTGGCTCTGCCTCCCGAGTGCTGGGATTAAAGGTGTGCGCCACCAATGCCCGGCTCTCTTTCATTTTTTGAGACAGAGTTTCTCTGTGTAGCTCAGGCTGTCCTGGAACTCACTCTATAGACCAGGCTAGCCTCAAATTCAGAGATCCCCCTGCCCCTGCCTCCAAGTGCTGGGATTAAAGGTGTGTGTCACCACCGCCTGGCTTTCTTCTTCTCTCTCTCTCTTACCCCCGCCCTCTTGGAGATAGTTAAACTCTTCTCAGTAGCCGAGGTGAAGGGGGAGGACTTGGGGCCAGAACACTGTTCTAGGTGTCTCCATCTTAAGGCAGCATGGATGGCATCTCATCTACACTCTTTTGTTTGTGATCATGTGTTTATTTTGGGCAAGTGAGGAAGTGGGGAGACTCGGGGGACTGCTCCTGGCCAGTAACAATAACCCGGTTACCACCAGAGTAATTAAACTTTTGGGGTTTTCCTTATGTATGGTGGTCATTTGGCTGTTTGAGGCCCTCGTGGGAGGAAACTGCCCTTTGCCAGTGAACTTGGCTTGGGTTTACCAGGCACGTATTCACATCTGAGAGCTGCTCTCCTTCCGTTAAGAACAAATGCATAAGGATGACGCAGAGGCTCTGGTCTCTCAGAAGGCATCTAATTACAGTCTGAAAAGATGTTATAAACCTGCAGCTAACTCTATTCCTAATTCATTTACTTACGTAAGGTGGTGCTGGAGATGGAATCAGGGGCCTCATACATGTTAAACAAGTGTTCTACCATGGAGCTATAGCCAGGTCCCATGGTTTGGATTTTATATGCTCTGTTGGGACAGAGAAGACGCACTACAAGCCCTCCCCAATAGAGAACACTCTTGTTTCTCTGGGGACCTCTATTTATCCTTCCCTTTGTAAGGCCCACAGAGGGAGACGTTCTGTAAAGCAGCCTGCCCACTCTGCTCTTGTCAATTAAATGTGCCCAGAGGAATGAAATGAACAGTTATGTAGAGTGTTGAGCAGCAGTGAGTACAAGGACTCCTGGGTTAGTCCTCCATCGAGGACTTCGAGGAGCTACCGTATGTCTGCTGCTGCCGCCGTGGAAAGCAGAGGGGCAGAGGCCTGTGTTGGTGGTGTAGCGGGGCAGGGCGTCACCGTCATGTGACCTGCATGTAACCGTCAACTGCTGGGAAGGCGGAGTGTCAAGAGATGGGAGAGGAGTGAGGGGCTGGACCGTGCCTTCCCACCGAGTTTCCTTTCCTTTCTATCTCAAGTACACTTGTGCTGTGAGGCTGCCTTTTCCTGTGTCTTTCCCCTGTTCGCAGGGCTGGCTGGGTACCAGTGCCACCTACCACCTGCCTCCTACCTCTCCCTCCTCTCTCTGCCGCCCACTCCCGAGTCAATTGCTTTTGTCTGATTCCCACTCCACGGGGGCAGGGCCTTTTAGCCACTCTTCTGATATTATGATCATTGTTCTGAATCCGTGCTTGAGAGTACAATGACTGTACTTTTCCAGACTTACTTAGAACTTCATGTTATGAGAAAGAAAACAGCTGGGCAGTGGTGGCACACACCTTTAATCCCAGGACTTGGGAGGCAGAGGTAGGTGGATCTCTGTGAGTTCGAGGCCAGCCTGGTCTATAGAGTGAGTTCCAGGAAAGCCAGGGCTACACAGAGAAACCCTGTCTCAAAAAACCAAAAATAAATAAATAAATAAAAAGAAAAAGAAATAAAACATTAGCTTCTGCTTCCTCTATCGTCTTTCCAATAGAGTCATATTTCAACTCTTTGCTGTTTGAGCAACAGCAAGTGCTTAGATGATGTCACTGCGTAAACATTTACAGCTGGGTCTTGTAGGATATTATGATTAGATTAGAACCCAGCACCTATCACCTTAGGCAAGTGCTCTACCAACTTAGCTATGTTCCCAGACATAGATTTCCTTTCTTATTAAACATTTTGTTCTTCCTTTAAATTGAATAGATTAAACTGGATATTTTTTATGTATCTACTTCTGATTAGTTCTCAAGTGCAGCCATCATTTCATTCCTCCTCTCACTGGTCCCTCCTTTGTGCACCAAGAGCTCTCTAGATCTACTGAGTAGCTGCTGACTTTTTGTTTCCTTTTGGCATCATCCTGGGGAGTCCTACTTCATTTCTGTTTGTGTGTGTTGAATCTTCTGGTTTTATTAGATTTTATGTCTCATTTTCTTACTTTGGAGACATGCAGCCTTTAGCAGTTTTATGAGAAAGAGTATTTAGTAAGTAAAAAACATAAATTTCTTCTGTCCAAAATGTCTGTATTCTGTCTTCGCATCCGATGACAGTTTAGCTAGGTATGGAAAGCGTGTTGAAGACAGTTTTCCCCGAGTCTGAAGGCCTTGTCCCATTGTCATCTACCTTCCGATGTGCTGTTGAGAAACCAATGAAATCTTTATTTATGACCTTCTTTCTCTTTTCCTCTGAGAAACTTAGGATCTTCTCTTTGTCTGTAGTGTAATGAAATTTCCTTGATATGAGAATTTTCTATTGTGTAAGATACTTGGTGAATTTCCTCAATAGAGAAACATTTTCTGCAGTTCTAAAGAATTTTCACTTTCTTAGTGCTAGGGATAGTACCCAGGGCTTTATGCCTGCTAGGCAAGCTCTCTGCCACAGAATTATCCTTTGATATTTCTCTGAATTACTTTGTTGGTGATCCCTCTACTCTCTAATTTCTTTTTCTGAACAACTTTTAATTGGCATACTGTTCACCCGAACTAAGCCACCCCATTTTTCTTATATTTCACCCATTTTTGTTTGTGTTTAAAGTATGTTGCCTTGGATTGTCTCCCAATATTTCCATTGAAATTTTCTACTACATTCTACTTTAGAACTATCTTTATTTCTTGGTAATATTTTTTAGAGTTTCCCATTCTTATTTATTTATTTATTTTGGTTTTTTTGAGACAGGGTTTCTCTGTGTAGCTTTGCGCCTTTTCCTGCGACTCACTCTGTAGCCCAGGCTGGCCTCGAACTCACAGAGATACTCCTGCCTCTGCCTCCCAAGTGCTGGGATTAAAGGTGCGCACCACCACCTCCCAGGCCCAATTCTTATTTATAGAATAAGAAAAATTGAAATTTCACATCTTAAAAGTTACTAATCAATGAACTACATTAAGAGGCCATGCTTTTAATAAGTGATTAGGTCATTAGGGCTCTTTCTCTGTTAAGGTTCCTATATGAGAGGCTTCACACAGCTTTCAGCTTTCTTGTCTTCCACCACATGAGCATAACACATCCCTCCACTCTGGAGGATGCAGCAGCAGGCACCATCTTGGAAGCAGGGGCCAACAGCCTCTCCTGCTGACCCTTTGATCTCAGACTCCCTGATTCCAGAGGTGTGGGAAATCTGTTCTTGGTAAACTATCCAGCTCAAGGGATCCTGTTCTAGCAGGCCAAACAGAAAAACCCATCAGCCAACCCCTTCTTTCCACACACCCCACTTCCGGTACATCCCTGGTGCCTGAGCTACCCCGAGGTGCTGCGGTGCAGTTGGGTGCGTTTTCTCTTTGCCTGTGCCCTAAGCCGGCTGCCACCTGCTCTGCTTTCTCTAATTCTCTGCTGTCACCTTTTCTCCAATCCTCTTTTCTATGTGTACGGCTTAAAATACCTGAATGTTGTGCTGGAGAACTCCAGAGTGGGGGATATTCAACTCTTATGTTCAACATGCCCCGTTGAGTCAGAAGCCTACACATTCCTCTTCATCCCTTTGACCCTGACCCTGCCCAGCCACAGTCTGTACACCAGCTCTTCCCAGTATCATACAGCTTCTGCTTAGCCAGCCACTCCCACAATGCAACTTGCCTGTGGGGGCCCCTTTTCAGGTTCCTTGTGGTTTTACCTAGCAGGTCCGCATAGAGGATGATCAGGACCACGGGCCTGAGTGCAGGCATCTGAGATGGTCTGCACTTGGCTGTGCTGGGGGAGGAGGTCTTTTGCTCCACCCCTTGGCGTCTCTATAAAAACCCTGGGGCAGAGACAGTCAGGGCCCATTGGAATAGGTTCCAGGCCCTCTCGAGGCTATCCTTTATTTTCTATCTGTTTATCTCCACAACCTAAATCCTTCTATGTAATATTTCCTGCTGCTCACACTCAAAACTCTGGGGAGCTGTGGGGTTGGTGGGTAAACGCCCCGCACTTGCCCTTCTTTTGTCCCACACTGGTGTAACAGACAACCTGGCTCTTCTGCCCCTCAGTCCTTTGCAGGCTGCACACACTGAACTGCTCTTGTCATCAGATGTATTCACAAGACGCCTGCCTTTACAACACGCTGCTCTCTCCTTGCCCTTCTTTCCCTTTCTTATTTTTTTTTTTTCCTGGTTTTTCGAGACAGGGTTTCTCTGTGTAGTCCTAGTCCTGGGCTCTCCTGGAACTCACTCTGTAGACCAGGCTGGCCTTGAACTCACAGAGATCGGCCTGCCTCAGCCTCCTGAGTGCTGGCATTAAAGGCGTGTGCCACCAACTCAGGTTTCCTTCTCTTTCTTAATCCTTCCTACTTCACGTTAAAGACTGCTTCCTCAGGGAATTCATCTCAACTTTTCAAAGGAGAGGAGAGAGCTTGCTCTTCCACATTCTCTGAAATTTCTCAGACTCTGTTCATGTGGCTTTGACATAACTTTGAAGTACCTCTACCCCAGCTCCATGTTAAACTCCCTACTGACAGCGCTTAGGGATTTGTTTCCTGTATATAGCACTTTGCCTAGCATGAAGCAGGAAAAAGAATAATTTATAGAATACAGAGAGGACACTTGCTGGAGTTTGGATGACATGTTTCCAAAGGCTCATGCATTGAAGACTTAGCATCATTGGGAAGCTGTGGAAACTTTAAGAAATGGAGCCCAGTGGAAGGTCTTCCTATAATTTTCTTTGTGCCCTTGAGGGGGATTGTGGGACCCCAGCTCCTCCCTTCCTTCTTTTACTTTGTCACAGCGGGGAATGGTTTTGTTTCATCGTGGGCTCCCTACCATGATGTACTGCCTTTCCACAGACCTAAAATCCCTGGACGCCACCAACCTTGGACTGACACCTCTGAAGCTGTGAGCCGATACCCTGTCCCTTTTCTGGCTGACTGATTGACTGTCTTGACTATTTTGCTTGAGTAATGGAAAGTGACCTTTTCAGACAAGAATCACACTCGAATGCCAGGCTTGCCTTGAACTTGTGATCCTCCTACTTTGGGCTCCTCAGTACTTGGAACACTACCTAATACAATGCTTAAACAGAACAAACATAGCTATTAGGATGAATTAGGGACTGAGTTAGAGGAAAGTCTATACTGGTGAGTTCTAAAACCCACAGATATGCTGTATTTGCTTTCAAGTACATAGAGAAAAAATTCATCAGTCCTTCTCATAGATTTTTGTCATTCTTCTGGTTGATTTTGAGTGATCTATAATTAATGTATTGATCACTAGCTCAAGTTCCCCATTGTTTGTATGTAAATAATGGCTTTGCAATATTAAAAAATAAATTATTCCCTCAAACTAGAGAAATAGTCTCCATACAATTTTGATGTCACTATTAATTTTGAGCAAAGACTTTCCGTTCATGGGCTGCATAAATGAACACAGAGCATTCAAGAGGGAAAAGTAGCCCTGGGTATTAGTAAATTCTAACTCCTTTCCAGTGTGCCAGGGACCAAGTTAACCAGTATTCATCAAGCTGCCCAACCCCACCTCAATTTGGTGGCTCTTGTAAACTGTAAAGCACCACACATATTGTGGACTATTATTATCATTATGGCTATGTCAGCAGATTTCAAACACCACTCACTGTTCTCTGGTGGAACCTGGGGAAAGCAGGAAGGGTAGGCTGCCCGTGGTATAGAAAGAAGAAAAAGACCCATCCAGTGGCAGAAGCCTGTAATCAATCCCAGCCACTTGAGAGACTGAAGTAAGAGGATCCCACATTAAAGGCCAACCTGGGCTAATAGTGAATTCAAGGCCAGCCTGGGCAACATTATGAGACTCTTGTCTCAAAATGAAAAGTAAAAAAAAGGACGTAGCATACACAGCTTAGCGCTATAGCACTTGTATTGCATGTGTAAGACCTCAGGTTCAATCCCCAATGTCACAAGAATAGAATAAGAATGAGGGTCGGTAGCCTGGCTGAGTCACCGGGCAGTTGGTGTTAGGGAGGCACCACCACTCACCATGACTGTGTACTCAGTCTGGGCCTGGATGGCTGACTTCAGCAGCTGCAGTTTCTCAAAAGCCTGTGAACAAAGGAGAGGGTGTCAGGGTGCTGGAGCCAGAGAATCCTGTCCCAGAACAAAGTGCTAGGGCAGCCACAGCAGCCTCACAGGCCTCCTTGTGGTTCCTTAAGGCAGAGCGGGGGTTTACCAGCATGGCAGCCTTGTGGTCAGTCATGGCTTGCACAAAAGCCAGTGCCTCTGGAGTGGCCGACCTGATGTTGTCCACGCGACCTTCCTGGAACCGGCGGATGGATGCACTCTCATAGGTGGGCACCAGTCTCTGATAAAGCCTGCACAAGATAAAAGATGGATGGCAAACAGTAATTTGTTCTCAGGGAGTCATAAATACTGAAAGAAATATAGCCCCGGCAGGCTTTATTTTCATAGCTCTGACATGACGTGGCATAGTATTTCATTTTAATGTTAATAGAATTCTAGAGGAGAATTCCAAAGATGAATGCTGGCAAGTCTTTGATGTGAAGAACCATGTACACTTTTATACACTGGGGACTCCATTGATGTAAAGTGAGGAGGCAACTGGTTGCTTTTGAAAAACAAAACACCGCCACCAGTCTGTAGGGAAACCTGGAATTTTCTGTGAACCCTAATGAGTGTTGATTAATATTATCACAGCATCAGATGAAAGTGCAGTGCATCACACACACCTTTCTTGGAAGCCTGCTTTATTTTAAATGGTTCACCATGACCTCTAGTCAAAGCAGGCGAGCATGGTGAGTGTAGACAGATGCCCAGGCCCACAAGCGTGTCAAGGTGTGTCTCATGGGGAAACTGCGGCTGATATCCCCACACTTTGTTTCAGTCTCCTGGCCATTCTAGCAGAGCTCACGCTGGTGGCTTGGAAGCCTTTCTTCCTGTGCATGGAAACCAGGTGAACCCCCCCCCCCCCCGGCTTGCCTCTCTGACCAGCAGAACCCCCTCTTCCCATCAGCCAGTAACATCCATGGAGTTGAGGAAAAGGAAGAAGAAAAACGACAGAGTTCAGACCAATGGGAGCCCAGTGTCACATAAGGATCTGTAGCTCTGCGTCTCACTACCTTTGTGGGGTGAGCTCCTGGAGGGACAATGTGATAGGATAGAAAACTGGGTGACAACAGAGCCCAGGACGTTTGCTTCCTGACCCTGAAAGCCACGCTTCCCTTCAGGATGCTTCTGGACTCTAAAGCATCCAATTGGACAGTTGACCCGGGCAACGCCTCATCTTGCCTTCACCCACCTGTAGAAGGCCAGCTGGAGGGCTACCTGGATGAAGGCATCAGGGCTGCATTTCTGCTTCTTGATAAATGTTTTTCCATAGTCGTCAAACTTATAAACAATGAAATCCAGATTCTTTACTATTCTGTGGAAGAGAAAGAAGATATTCTGCATGCAAGATAGGTTACCTATGCCACAGAGCCCACCCACGCTTTCCTGGTCCATGTCCTAGTGGTCCAGAAGGTGAGTGCACAGCCCTTATCCTCCAGAAACACCCTAGGATATCAGAGACCTACCTTTACTCACGCCAAGGGGCAGAAGGCACCCTGGAACCTGTGCCTTTCTAGAAGAGCTCAGCCCAGAGGGGCCCTTCTAGGGAAAGGTGGGTCTGGCTGCAGCAGTGAGGTGGGCGGAGCATGGAAATGAGATATTTGCATGGGCTGGGTGAGCCTCACCCACAGACTCCTACCTGCTGGCTGCCTACAAAGCAAGCCTGAAAGAGACCATTTATATGTCTGTGGAGGAACAGGGGTCCAATGTCCCCGTGGATTCTCAGCTGTCCTAACAGTTAACTTCTCAGCCGGTGGTCACCCATACTCATCCCTGCTTGCCATGGGCAGAAGGACTTGGGATCTGACTGACTGTCATGGTAGCCCCAGCGAGGGCTGGGGCTTTACTCATCTGTTGCTTTACTTGTAAAAGAAATCCCATGTTATCCAGCGACTGCTGATAGGTCGCCCAGGACATGCTTATCATTCTCAGAGTGTCAGGAAGCTTCCCTGGGTCTGCACAGAAATGCCTGTGCCACCACCATATTGACCAGTGTCATCCTTTAGGAGTTAGGGGTCCGGTCTGACTGTCATGGGGGCATTGGCAGGGAGGTGTATGCCACTGTCTCAGGTCCTGCAGGAGTCACCTGCCTTGACTCTCACCGTCCCTGGGACTGGATGCTACATCTACTACCCCCCCCCCAGCCCACCTTAAATCAGTCCTCCTGCCTCACATGAGCTGAGCTCCCACGAGTCATGCAGCTGCTTGGGACAGGAGAGACCCTGCCTTTTGACAGATTCCGTGGACAAATTTCTCTTTCACCATGGCTGCTCAGAAACCGCCTTCCCACACACTGCTCACCTAGCTCCACCACCTCCCATAGACTGTTCAGGTCCAGGTGACTCCTCATGCCTGTTAGGAAGAAGCTGGGGGGGACTTCTTCCTAACACACAGGGCAAGCTCAGGCCCTTCAGCCTTTTTTCTATCTCCCTCTTCTGGCAACCCACCCACCTTGGACCCCCATCATAAAAGTTGAGATGTCAACATCATCCCATGGAAACCTGGAGCCTCCTTCCACATTCAGTAAAGCCAGGCAGCCTCCACAGCAGCTCCACGTGAGGAATGTCCATGCTAGGTTTCCTGCTGTGTCCTGCTCACCTGTGCTACTCTCACAGACGCCCCCACAACTTCTACTGAGGAGCAGCTCCTCATCATAGGCAAGGCATGACCCAGCTTCTCTCTCTCTCTCTCTCTCTCTCTCTCTCTCTCTCTCTCTCTCTCTCTCTCTCTCTCTCTTTGGTTTTT